GGAGGTAGGCTCTGACATTGTCCTTCAACTGGGAAATTGTAGAGGGTCCTCCCAAACCTCTACAATTCCACACCAAAACTCTCATTTGGAAACTTGGGACCAGTTATGGCTGGTTTCCTCCACCAATTTATCAGAAAGATTTTGATCAGTTTTTGGTTTTTTAAAACAGACTGCATCATTCACAGAGGGTGTGATCAGATTTTCAGGAGATTTTCTTTTAAAACAGATTACATTATCCACAGAGGGTGAAATCAGATTTTCAGGAGCTTTCCTTTTCAAATCAATATTACCTACAAGAGGCTGAGAAAGATAGCAGACAGAGGGTGTTGGTGCCTCTGTGACTTTAGCTCTAGGAATTTTAACAAAAGTTTTGAGTTTTTTAGCAACCAAAGGGGTAGACTTGCCCTGTTGAATAGGGACATTAACAAGAATATCATTATCCAGAATAAGATCAACCTTACTGTGGCTTTGGGCATTATCAAGGTCCATGACCTCACAAACAGGGAGAACACTGGCATCTCCCTCTATTTCACTAACAGCAGACACCCCAGGATTGGGTCTCACAGGGTTCTTAACATTACTAGGGGGGTTGTTGCTGATAACACTGCTATCAACTCCAGGTTGGACACAGGTCTTAGAGGGTAAGGGCCCCAGAGACCCTTCTTTCCCATTAGGGGTTGACACACCTGTTTCAATAGCTTTAGAGGTACTAGAGCCAGAGTTTAACTTATCCCTATTGTCATGGGAAGGGCTGGAAGATCGCCTATCTCTATTATCAAAACTACCCACAAAAGAACCTCTAAGCCATTCCCCAAACTGACCTGTCCTCAGCACATTCCTCCGAAGATCTGATCCCTTCAAATCACATTGTCTATCGTGATGACCGATCCTCCCACAGTAGAAGCAGAAAGTTAGCAGATTCTCATACTTGAAGTCAATCCACTGCTCCTCCTCGCCCAATTTCAAACGGGTGCCTCTAGGAATTGGCTCAAGAACATTTACGTCCGTCAGGATCTTCACTATTTTGCCTTGCTGACTACCTATAACCGGAATCAGGACACTCTTCACTTCCCCAAAGATCCTCCCCACCTTAGCACCAGTCTCTTCTGAAATCCAGTGTAATGGTAGGTTATGGATTTGAACCCACAACTCCACCTTTAGCTCTTCATCTGTAAATTGGACCCGATTCTTCTGCCACTCCTTCAGCAATAAATACTGGCCATCAAAGGACCAAGCTTTTCCTTTGAGGACTTTATGTTTATCTGCATCATCCTGGAAGAGGAACTGAAAAAGATTATCCTCCAGGACCCTTATAGTGAAAGGTTTACTGGTACGCCAAACCAGGCTCATGGTGGTTTTGAGTCCCCCAAGATTGACTTTCTTCGCTCCAACTATTCTGCCAATAAGACTCCGCTCGCATTCATGAATACCTGGTTCAATATCGGTGTTGTCTAGCGAAATACCCCCATTTTCCTTTTCTGAGAGCTCAAACTTGGATAACTTATCAATAAGATCGTGCGCCATAACTAAACCCTGCTGAATCAGGACTTGACTAGCTGGAGGAAGACGAAGAAGCCAGGATACCTGCAGACAGAGAAAACCCTAGATTAGTAGGAAGCCAAAACGAAAGAGAGAGAGAGATCAAAAGGACACAAAATGAAACCCTAACGAAATACAACGAGAACCCTAGCAGGCGAAATAAAGCGAAAAAACAAACAAGACCAAGAGCTAATAATAGACAGAAAAAAAGAGGCGACTGCAAGAGAAAGGAAGAAAAAAGAAGAAAATGGAAGGGCGAAGAAGGATGAAAAGATCAACGAAGATTAAGAAATCCCCATTAGAGGAACAGAGCCAACTCTAGAAAGAGAGAGAAATTTCCAAAAGGGAAAACGTGAATTTGCCACTTTTTTGTTTATCAATTACATTATCTTGGTTAAAAATGAGATTCCATCTTGCTTTGTGTTTTCGTAGGAAGATGACATGTAATGTCTTAAAACTCATTTGTTTAATTAATTAATTTTTTTTTCTTCTTTTCGATAGTTCAAACAATTGTTATTGTTGATCCAATTCCAAAGCTTCCATAATCACTGTGGTTGAAATGGAGAATGCTTTTAGTAAGATTTTGAATTTAGTAAGACTTTAGCCACTTATATATATATATATATATATATATATATATATATATCATTATTGAAATATGTGAAGTCACTTGAAATTTGTTTAAACTATTTGGTAAATAAAACATGTTTAAAACTATTTAATAAAATATTGTCTATAATATATTATTCAATTCTCAAAAGATAATGATATGTATAAGTTTGAATTTTATAATCCACATGAGTATTAATTTTGAGATCCGTGTACTTTTCAAACTACTAATTAAGTTCATTTCCTATGAACTTTATATTGATTTATTGATTTTATTTTATTTCCATACAAATTTGACCGTCTCATTTTTTTACCATATTTTAGTGGATTTAACAAAGGCGGTATTGTTTATAAAATGATTTGGATATCAACATACAATTTATAATGGAGTTTTGGAAATTGTATACTATTAACAAAATACTATATTATCATTAATATTTTTTTGAACGCACAACTATAGATACTGAGAATTTGAAAATTACTTTCCCTTTTAAAATTGAGTATAGAAAAAACAATAGATTGGTAAATAAATAATTGATAAATATTATCGAGTTTATTACCACACGTTCCAAATAAATGCATTTTGATTATTAGTAGAAAATGATATTTAAAGAATAACGTTCATTTTCTTTTTTGGAAAGTCACAAATATAAAGACCGATACTCAAAAACTTGTATTACCTTTAAAATTAAAAGATTTCATAATTATAGAGACTGAGATTTTAATGTTGTTCCTTATTTTTAAGAAAAAAAAAATAAATTGCACACTTAATAGATCTTAACTGAAATTTTTAAATAACAAAATGATTTAAAGCCCGAAATTTAAGAAAACAGTTAGTGTTGTATGATTCTTCAATAACAAAAATAAAAATAATAATAAAACTTACTATTTATGGATGACATTAAATTTTCTACTTTTATTGTGCTACTATTTTCGGTAAATGGTTACTTTTATTATATATAGATACATAGATTACAAAAAACCCAAAATAAACAAATAAGAGAAAAAAAAAGAACCCAAATTTTATTTTTTCTTAATGGTTAAACTAGTACAGAGCTTGTGCGATGCACGGGATGCACAATTTTAAGGTTATTTATCCAACCTTATAATTATATAAACAAATAAAAAAAATGTACGGGATATATGTAGTACGGGACCTATGCGAGACACGAGATATATTTATTTGGGGAATATTATATTATAAAATGCAATATTCAAGAAAAGTTTTTTAATATGCAGGAAAATTATACAATAAAATAGTATTTTTAAGAAACAACCATATATTATTAAAGACCTCATTGTACATAGATATTAAATAATTTATTAGTAAAATAGTGTATAAATTGATTACAATAACAAAACAACATGCTCACGAGATTAGTAAATATAATCCATGGATTGAAGATTTAATGGATTAAATATTTAAATAATTTAGATAATTCGAAATTAAATAATTTAAAAGCCTTCCAACATTATTTTGACTTTAATATATTACAGCATGGATATACTTTAAATATATTAATATTTAAGGAACTTTAAACAATATAGTTTTTAAAGAATTCTTTTAGGGAACTTTAAACAGCATATTTACGTCACCCATAAAACATATTATATTTCAACAATATAGTTATAGTATTATTTAAGGAACATGAAACAACATTGTTAAATATTTACGTCAATCCATAAATTTTTTGTAAGTCGAATGTAATTAATCTCGTGCCTTTTTTTTGTTTGTTTGTTTATTTTTTTGACAAAACTGATGTCATGGATAAAACAATTAAATATAATATAAATTAATTAAATAATATGCTTTAGACAGATATAGAATGCGAATAATCCTCTCATGTCAAACAACGCGATTTCAAAATTACCTCACATCCAACAATCCTATCCAATATTTCATTAAAATAAATATTCAATAAAATGCTTTAAACAAAAATTAGATAAGGAATTAAATAATAAATTTTGAATCTGTTTTTATTTTAGTATAAATAGACTTTACGTATATTTTTTTTTTAATTCATTGATTTTATGGGATTTGTTTTGACTAAATCGATGTTATTATGGAATAAGACAAATAAATAAAGTTTATTTTTATTTTTTTTAAATTTAGTAAAGATTTTACGTACTTTTTTTTACTTATAGGATGTTATGATATTTTTTTTGTTAAACCGATTTTATGGGATATAAAACAAATAAATAAAATAATTAAATAAAATTATAAATATATATAACAATGCATTAATTACGTTGATTTTTCAACTTACGAAATTTGATAAATAGGATACCTTATTATATAAGTATAGATTTGGGTATTACCATTATGCACTGTGCATAAATTCATAACCAAGCTTTTATCCACGGTCATACGTAGGCCTGTAAACGAGCCGAGCCGAGCTCAGCTCGTTAAGTAATGAGCCAAAAATCGAGTTCAAGCTCGGGTTGTTAAGGCCTCGAGCTCGCCTTAACGAGTCGATCTCGAGTTTTAACGAGCCGATCTATAAAAAATTACATAAATTTCACTTTTCGAGTCTTAACGAGCCGAGCTCGGCTCGTTAACCAAACGAGCTTTAAATGAGCTCGAGCTCGGCTCGTTTAGGCTTCGAACTCGAGCTAACGAGCCGAGCTCGGCTCGTTAACCAAACGAGCTTTAAATGAGCTCGAGCTCGGCTCGTTTAGGCTTCGAACTCGAGCCGAACCGAGCCTTAACGAGCCGAGCCGAGCCAGACTCGTTTAATTTAACAGCACTAGTCATAGGCAAAGGTTTAATTTAGATATATTAATTCTTTATTCCATAATTCGAATATTATTTTTTTATTCTACGATCAACTCATAGTCTCACATATCTCCCTTTAGACGGGGATTATTACGGCAACCGTCAACAGAATTTCGATGAGCTGCTTAGCCGTGCTGCTTGCCGCCGCCAGCTCTTGCGGCTCAACCGATGGGCCGAAATCCTGGTCGCAATTGTTGAGGTACGACTCGGCAAACCAGGCCCAATTCAAGAGATTGGTTTGGGCCGACGAGCCCGACTGTTTCAGCGGACCGTAGCAGCTGCCGAGATAGTAAAGGGTCGTGTTGCAGTTGGTGGCGCAGTCGTTGAGTGGGCCCGTTCCCTGATAATTGGGCCCAGATTTATTCTGGCGCGACAGAAGGAGTTGGGCTATATTTTGGACGTTTTTGGCGGCGTTTATGGCCTGTTTGGTTACGAATCGGGCCATGCACCGGAGGTCGTCATTGGTGCAGTTTTGGGTGCTTTTGAGGGTTTGGATGCATAGGGTTTCATTGGCTGTGGTTGAGCAGATGGCTGAGATTGAGGACGCGTGGCAAATGATTGAGCATGAATAGTAAAGAGCGGCTAGGATTATGAGGAAAGAGATTGATGAGGCCTTCATTTTTTTTTTTCTTTTATTCTTTTTCTAAAATAAGGATTTTGGTTGTGAAATACTCAAATAGGTGGATTTCACTCTTCTTGAATTGGAGTATTTATTTATAGATGAATAGTAGGGAATTACTACAGTCCCGTTACGGAATGGTTCTGTCAATGTTGGTTACCGTATATTATCCACACATGATAATCTATATGTATATCCAATAGAAAACACTTATGGTGGATCTTAGAATTTTCCTAAATAGTAATGGTGAGAGTGATTATCATGTTGTTTAGTGGGACATTTGGGGAAAATATATAAATAAAAAAAAATGGGACTATTGAAGATATTTTCAATAAAATGGAATTTAAAAAGGGGTGTCTATATGTACACCCCCTTGTGTGTAAAAAAGGGGTGTACATATAGCATTGCCCTTTGTGTAATTTATTAAAGGGGGGTGTACATATAGCATTGCCCATTTAAAATAGTAGTCTCAAAATTGATTCACAATCGGCACACTTGTCGTTTCTGATTGGACATGTAGAATTTCGATGAAAATTATTTTCACTTTGATTATTTTGATGAGTAATTTCTAACGGACGCAAATTTCGATGAAAAATATTATATTTTTTTTAAAAAAAAATTAATATACCTGGTACTTTATAACTTTTTCGTTTTTCAATTATAGGTGGTTTGTATAGAATATAATTTCGGGGCTGGCCACGGTGTGCATCATTTCGTTAATTTAATCTCAATTTTTAGATTTTATAAAATTGATAGGGACATTTAGATATGGTAAAGGCCTACCAATCTAAAATGACGTGGCAAGTGTTTATTGGTTCCATTAAAATACATAACAACACTTAAGAATTTTCCTATAATTTCACGGAATACAGTTCTATGACGATTCTTACCATTTTCACGTAGTTTATGCATTTTTACGAACACGCTACATGAATATTAATAGAAGTTAATAAATGATTAACACTACATTCACTGTTTATTTATTTGTTTGATAATTTATTACAATTCTCTACAAAAAAAATGTAATAAGTAGTACTTTTAATTTATTTATATCTTCAATAGTACTTTGTTATCCGGCGGGTTTATTGCTTTTAAAGACGAAAAATGTCAAAATGGAATCATACCAAAGCATGCATGCAATTGCAAACTATGGTCGCTCACCTCATAATTGACGTTTGTTAACTTTCATATATTTTACTTTTTTGAATTAATATTCCTTAAGGGCAATCCTCCTAGTTTTACGCAAAATATATTAGTTGATTGAATTGTCAATTTGGATTAATATATTATTTTTTATTTATATCTATTTGCTTACTTCTAAATTACTTCTTCCTATTCATTATAAATGTCGTTTTGACTTTTGTGATTTATCCATTTTATTATGTATCTAGACATTACTTTTTTGAATTATATATCCTTAAGGGCAATCCTCCTAGTTTTACACAAAATATATTAGTTGATTGAATTGTCAATTTGGATTAATATATTATTTTTTATTTGTATCTATTTGCTTACTTCTAAATTACTCCCTCCTATTCATTCTAAATGTCGTTTTGATTTTTTTAATTCATCCATTTTGTTATGTATCTAGACATATTAATGTCTAGATACATAATAAAATAGATGAATCACAAAAGTCAAAACGACATTTATAATGAACTCGTAGTAGTTTTTTTTTAAGCTTTTGGGCTCAGTTATTATTAGTTAATGGGCTCACGGCCCAATAGATTTTTCATTCACGGCCACGGGCACGAAGCCCATTATACTTCCCATTTCTCTGCTTTCTCGAAGTTTACGCTTTCCCCGTATTTTTTGACGCAAGGTTCTCCGATCCTTCTTACCTCTTCGAATCGGGGATCGGCTCTTCCAATTTTAACATGAAAGATAGGATTTTCAATCAACCGAGAGAAGAAGGAAACAAATTATAAAACCAAATGTGAAAAATTGGGAAAAAAATATGATATGTATTATTCACAAGACATGTACACATATATATAGATACATAGAAGGGCCTTAGCCGCCTAAACCTAACTTATTGTACAAGAAAACATTTAACATAACTAACACCCCCTCAAACTCAAGGTGGTAAAGTGGAGATCAACTTGAGTTTGCTAAGAAGTAAACAAAAGCGACCGGGAAGGAGAGACTTCGTGAAGACATCCGCTGGTTGATCTATAGAGGAGACGGAAACAAGCTTCACAGTCCCATGTGCAACATGCTGTCGAATGAAGGACAGTCAATCTCAATATGCTTGGTACGCTCATGAAAGGTATCATTATGAGACATCTTTATAGCACTCTGACTATCACAATGTGAAGCAGTACACACCGACTGAGGTGTACCAAGATCAGCAAGTAGTCGACGCAGCCATAATAACTCTGAGGTGGAATCAGCAAGAGCACGATACTCAGACTCAGCACTCGATCTGGAAACCAATGTTTGCTTCTTACTGCGCCAAGAGACAAGTGAATCACCCAGAAAGAAGCAGTACCCAGTAATAGAACGACGATCAGTAAGATCTTCAGCCCAATCTGCATCAGAATAACCGCTAAGCGTCAAAGAAGAATGGGCCGAGAAGTGTAAACCATGCAATAGAGTGCCCTTCACATAGCGAAGGATGTGCAACACAGCAAAATGATGCGTGGTTCTCGGAGCAGCCGTAAACTGACTCACAATATGAACAACATGAGCTATATCAGGCCGAGTGACAGTCAAGTATATCAAACTCCCAACAAGCTGACGATATAATGTAGGATCCTCAAGAAGATAGCCATCAAGTGGAGTAAGACGAACGTCATAATCAAGAGGAGTGGAAGCTGTCTGACAATCAGTGAGACCGGCCCGAGCAAGAAGATCAGAGGCATACTTGGCTTGAGACAAATAGAATCCATCAGACGAATCAGAGATCTCAAGACCCAAAAAATAGCGAAGCTGGCCCAAACTCTTCATCTCAAAATGCTGACGAAGATAATCCTGCAAATCGGAAATACCGGTAATATCATCCCCCGTGATGATCATATCGTCAACATAGAGTAGCAAAATAATGATCCCGAAGGAGGAGCGCCGAAGAAATAAAGCAGAATCGCGATCACTCGTAGTGAAACCAAACTGAAACAATGCAGAACTGAACATGGCATACCAAGCACGAGGCGCTTGTTTCAAGCCATACAAAGCTCGACGTAGACGACAAACTTTCCCAGATGACAATGATCCAGGAGGAGGAGTCATGTAAACCTCCTCAGACAAGGCACCGTGTAAGAAGGCATTCTTGACACCTAACTGTAGAAGAGACCATCGACGAACAACAGCAACTGCAAGTAAACACCGGACAGTAGTAAGACGAGCAACCGGTGCAAAGGTCTCTTTATAATCTATGCCATACTCCTGGGAGTAACCCTTAGCAACCAAACGAGCTTTGTAGCGCTCAATAGATCCATCTGAATTTTTCTTGATCTTATACACCCACTTGCATCCGATGGGAGTCTTGCCAACAGCTAAATCCACCAAATCCCAAGTATGAGTCTTTTCTAAGGCCTGTAATTCCTCAATCATAGCTTTTTGCCACAATGGATCAACATTCGCCTCACGAAAAGACCTAGGCTCATGATGAGATAGAATGACCGAATAACAATGATAGTCAAGTAAGTGAGAAGGGGGACGACTTACACGAGTCGACCGCCGCTGATCAATAGCTGGCAAAGGTACAGAATCAGAAGAGGGCTCAGTACAAAATGTCGGTTTAGGATGCACAGGTGGAGCCACTTCAGAAGACGGAGGCATGACAGGCGTGTCAATGAGCTGTGAGTCAGAACCTGTATCTGTATCTGGAAAAAGATCTGAAGTAATAGACATGAATAAAGGAGACGCCGAATCAAACGGAATATGGAACTTAGACAAGGAGGAAAATGTAGTATGCTCCCAAAAGGTAACATGACGCGAAATACGCAACCGATTAGAAATCAGATCCCAACACTTAAATCCTTTGTGTTCTACCCCATAACCCAAAAAACAACACAGACGAGCTCGGGGTTCTAATTTGGTCCGGTCATGGGACGGAAGAAGAACAAAGCAAACACAACCAAAAGGATGTAACTGAGTATAATCAGGAGACTGACCGTACAACCTCTCAAAAGGACTGACATCACTAATGACTGATGAGGGTAACCGATTGATAGCATAAACAACAGTCAAGGCTGCCTCACCCCAAAAACGATCAGGACACTGAGCAGAAAGAAGAAGAGCTCGGACAGTATCAAGAATGTGACGGTGTTTACGTTCAGCTCGTCCATTTTGTTGGGAAGTATATGGACACGAACGCTGAACTAAGGTGCCCCGATCAGAAAGAAATTTCAAAAAAGTAGAATCTTTGTACTCAAGAGCATTATCAGTACGCAAGACCTTTATAGGACAAGAAAATTGTGTAAGAATCATGTTAGCAAATTGAACATATATGCTGGACAACTCAGAATGATTTTTGAGAAAATAGATCCAGGTAAAACGAGAAAAATCATCAACAAAAATAACAAAATACCGAAAACCACTCAGAGAAGCAATAGGAGAAGGACCCCAAAAATCAGAATGTACCAAACCAAAAGGTTTATCAGCAGTTGACAAACTATCAGAAAAAGAAAGAGACGGTTGTTTCCCAAGTTTGCAATGAAGACAACTAAAAGACTCAAAATGACCTGAACCCAAAAGACCCTTATTATATAAAGAACGAACTTTATTCGAAGACGCATGCCCAAGACGAAGATGCCACTGGAAACTAGACTTACTATTGGTGGCAGAAGCAGAAAAAGAGTAAGAACGAGAGACATGAAGTGACTCAAGATCAAATAACCGGCCCGTCTTGCGACCTTTCCCGAGAAGCTGTCCCGTTTGTGAATCCTGAACCTGAACACCAGAAGATGAAAATATAACATTAAGACCTTGGTCAACTAATTGACCAACAGAAATAAGATTCAAGGTCAAGTCAAGAATGCAGTATGTGTCGGGAAGAT